ACAAAACACTGTTGCAACTTGCATTGCACAGAATGGTCAATCAGCTAACCACAGGGAAGCTGCCCATTTGTTTTGAGTGGAAATATTGCGTAATTATTGAGAGCTTTTCTGTTTACCTTGCAGACCAAAGTTACAGAGCAATCATCTCCAACCTGAAGCGAAAGAAACTCACTGAAGTGGGGGCCTGTGGTGGACAAAAATAAGATAAACTTTACAAAAATCTGCATCCTGCAGAAGCATATTTTTAGACAAAATTATCTTTTTTCTTTACTTTGAGTTTTAGTAGTTCAGAGGCAGTTCACTTCTGTCCTTTGCGTTACATTCATTTTCACTTACCTGCTCTCCTATAAGATGAAAAAGTGGCAAAAAGCTATGAAATACAAAGCTAAAAACAAAAATAGATGATCTTTCTTACCCTCTTTCACTCTAATGTACTCCCTTCTCTGGAAGTCAGCCTCAGCCAAAGCAGCCTTGAAAGCTGTGGGCGCAGAAATGTACAATGAAATGTATTAAAGGGTCAAAATACTGCCATTACATGCTATCACTGAAATTACATTTGAGAAATATCTCTTACACATAGATACGCCATACATGTGGAACAATATCACTGAAACGTTTCCAAATTTGAGTAACTTAACTGACAATGTGCAACCGACGTGTAAAAATTGATAAACATGGTGATGGACATGTTCTGGAGTTTTTGATGACGATAGTTTGCAATTAAGGGAACCATGTCACTCTACTGAGAAATATTATCTTTTACTGTATCATATATATACCACAACTGGTCAGACACTCCTGGTACATTAATTACTCTTTTAAAAAAGCATTGAATGGAGGTGGTTAGTCTGGGTTATGGAAATTGTATTGGTACTTTTTTACACTGAGGACGGGTAACAAGGACTACCTGCTGCACAAATGTATATTTAGCAGTATTCACCAATGTTTAAATAGACTGTACTCATTTGGGCTGAGTCACTTTGGTTCCTACCACCTGTTTTCTTAATCACCTGAAATGTCTCGTTGTCATTTGCTAAGCATTCTTCCAGTAGTAGATTCATCCCTTTCCATTAGAGATAGTGAGGTGATGGTGAGATCAGCCTTGCTTACCATCTCCAATCAGAACCAGCGAGCTTTGTGCTTTGCCGCCACCATCTGTGATCTGGCAGGTAAATGTCCCTTCATTCTCCTCTGTGAAATGGTCCATGATGAACTCGATGATACCTGTAGAAACGTCGTGTCCCATCTTATTAGGCTGCAGAAAAACACAGCTGCATTGTAAGAGAAGCCACACATAGTTGATGACAGACTTTGTGAATATATATATATTGGCTTTGATTAAGCCTTTCATGTTGCAACAAACCAACACTCGAGACAGTACGGGGCTGTTAGACATTGACGCTGTTCACCTTGAAGCCAGACAGCACATTTTTCCATCTTTTCTATCCTTTTCATTTTGTAAAAGCAGAGTGTCTCTTACATCAGCTCCTGATAGCTCCTTGTTATTTGCAAAGAATTTGTAGGTGACTTTGGAGGAAATCTCTTCAGCCTGCAGCCAAAATCTCATTCTGCCTCTCTCCAAAATCTTATAGGCCAACTCAGACTTCAGTGGGATGACTTGGGGAGAGGATAGAGGAGAAAAGGAAAGGAGAGTGAAGAAGAGGACAGAGTCAGGCAGGTGATGCAAAAGCAGGTAAGAGTTTTTTTTATGGATCAAATAAAATGAGAAATGCGCCCCTAAAATAATGAAGAAATGAGAAAGCTTCAAAGCAATTGGAAGAAAGCAAATATAACTAGGAGACAGGGAGAAAAAGAAATGGAGGAAGTGGGTGAGGCAGATTAAGAAGAGGGAAAGCAGAAGCCAGAGAGAGGATATATTAAAAGAGACAAAAAAAAAGAGATTATTGAAAATACGTACTTGGGTGTCTGATATCATAACTGAGCGCCAGCATCTTTTCCAACGCTGAAAAAGAAAGGCAGTTTATTACTTTTATGATGCCACAAAAAACAAACAAGCAGTCCGTTTCAATTAACAGGGAGAAAGCTGAAATATTAGGAGACATTAAGAGGCTAACTCATCGCTGTATTTAGTGTGTGTGCGTTACATGGGAAGTTACTCAGGTCGTACTCAAAAACATAGAAGATCAAAACTCTATTCAGCCTCACGGTGAAATATCCGTGGACGAAACGGGAGAGAATCAGCGGAAGGTGCACTGAATAACACATTACAGCCGAGTAGGATAATGGTGCAATAGAGGGAAAAATACAGCAAAACTTTTGACAGAAGGTCTTTTGCAGTGAAAATGTGGCAATAAAACGCATACTCTGCCTAAGGCTTGGAGAAGTGTGCTCAGATGGTATTCATCAGAGGAGTAATGAAATTTTTCATTGCCTACATGCCAGTGAAATCATCCCTAAGTACAATCTCATTGCTTTCATCTTAGCTACATCCTACACAGTGCCTCAGTTCTTCGATACGCACTTCCTTTTGATTTATTTTTTTTTAGTATTTTGCGCCGGTTTTTACTTTTTGATTTATCGTTCTGAGCAGAAACACACATCTTTTCAAATTTTTATGATTCCAATATTTTCAAGCAATATTTTGACTAAAAGCAAAAAGAAAAATAAATAAAGTGGTTTAAGAAGTAACTAACATACAGACAAAACCAATGACTTATTTGTGTGTAAAGCAAAGGATTTTGAGACAGAAAAACTAATTTAAATGCAAATTTTGTGTATTCTCTTTGGTCCAGTGTTGACACACCAGAGCCTTGCTGGCACAATAATGATTAAATCAATACCTTCAGTTGAGATTGTGTAACTGGATGAAACTCCGCTTGTGCTGGTTACAGAAACAGAGTATGTTCCAGCATCTTCCTTATCTGGGTTCTTAAAGATCAGCTTAGATCTGTGATAAAGGGAAGGAAGAAGACAGAGGCACCCGTGCTGTAAATGATGACGTTGAACATGAGAGGTGAAATCTAAGCCGTGGAACCGTGCTTGATCTTACTGGCTGCCTTCAGTTTTAATCACCACTCCTTTGGAGAAATCTGTGATTTCTTTGTAGTCTTTTTTCCAGATAAACTGCGAGTCGTCGTTCATTTGGCAGGACTCAAAGGACAGAACAATGTCACCGGATTTCTTGTCCACCGTGCAGGAGACTTCCTGGGAACCTTTAAACAATAGAAATGAAAACTTTCTTCATTAAGACGCTATTGGAATCTCATCAGATTCTGTGTCTGTGAGGTTTTTAATTGCTCTAAGCTACTAGTCAGCTATTCCTGCAAAATGTAGATTACTACCTGTAGAGGAATATGTATATATCACAGTTTACTAATGTATAAATATTGTGCCTCTTGTGATGTCATCGCTCCAAATACAAGCAAAGAAGAAGTCATCATAAATTTTTCTACTGTGCGCTTTTTAAACATTTGACATTTTTCTAAACCCTAATGTGGAAATTGACCGTACATTTCCAGCAGTATTTTTACTGTCAGAGTACATTGATAAAAAATTTATTTTTAAAATATGCCCACAGGATTTTAAAATTGAATCACAACCTTTCTCTCTTGGTTTGTTACCTTCCACTGCCTTCGCAATCACAGGATCAGAGGGCATTGAAGCCATACCCACACCTGCAGCGTTGACTGCACGAACTCTGAACACGTAGCACACGCCAACCTCCAGGCCTGTTACCTAGAAAACACAGGCAAAATAAAACCATAGTTCTGAAAGGAAGAACACAGCAACAAATTGATCTATATTGGAATGCTAAAAATAAATATACAGCTTGCAGTACTTTTGCAAACAATTAAAAACCTGTTTTAAGTAGGAAGTGAAGATGAAAACAACTCATTTAAAACTAAGTACAGATTTGTCATTATTTGTTTTCAGGAAATGTGTTCAATTTCAATTTGCTGACAGAAAGGTATGTTAAATTAGGAGGGACAAACTGCACGACTTCTTATAGTAATGCACAAAACGTTTCTTTCCGGCTGGCTTATTTCAACAGCTTGTTAGCCCCTGTAGCTTTTAGTAATTAGTGTCATACAGATAGTGGCTGTTGTGATTTAGCAAAACAGTCTGGAAAACATTGGGTGACATTTTAAACATGATTAACATAATTTCTTTTGATTTATCAATCTGTGGGATAGCGTTGCACTTTATTTCAGTTCATCACTATCCTCATGAAATGTTTTCTCCTCAAATAAGCTAGATGTAAGCCACTAGACAGTCTAATTTCACAGTATTTATTTATTTGGGTCAATTTTAACCTTTCCATACACACGTCAAACATCATGCCAAAAATGCAAATAAAAAATTTGTAAAAAATAAAAACAATAAAACTAATAAGCTGCTATGTTTAAATTAGTACTATGTAACTCATTAGTCTTTCACTGACATGATGGCAGGGAAGCAACAAGGAGATTAAATGGTTTGGAAATAATTCTAAAAAAAATACTTTTTATTTAATATTTGGCATTTATGTTTACAAAATTAAATAAGCATAACATTTACTGTATCTACTTGTATTTAAATATTTCTATTCTTTAATTATTTAACCTGATCATGCAAACTGATTCCACTATATTTTCCAGCTGCATTTTACATTTTTAATATTAAATTGTGGTCATTTAAATAAATCATAGTATCTACTTATGGAATTTCCTCCATCTCATAAAAGTTAAATCACTCACTTGTGTTTACATTTTAGCAAATATCTTCCCACTTTAGAATCACGCTGTACACTTAGGTCTGGTAGTCTCACTACATCCACTAGGTGTCAGTATTATACAGTTTTTAGCTACTGAATTGCTATAAACAGACTTAGCTTTGTTAGGTCGTGTTGTGACTTTTTTACACTTATATGTTGTTCAGTATATTTTGCATGATAAGTGACTGATTTACAATTATATATTAAGCATAATTTGCATGATAATTATTATTAATTGTATTGAACATGATTGTATATAATTACAAAGGTGAAGTGGAATATATTTAAGTGTGAGACATGATTTATTTGAATAGAGGAAGTCTTTTATTTTGAAGAATGCTTAACAGGATCTGGTTCTGTTTTGTCACTATCTTGCTTTTGTTGAATTTTGGTTGCTAGGTTACAAACAGCTGTTGCCTTATCAGCTGTTGCCGTTTTTTCTCTTCAATAAAAACTGAACAGAAAGGTTCAGTAAAAGACATACGAGCCTCCGTCTTGTTTGAAGAAGCTTTACTCCATAACAGGTTGTAATATTAATGGAAATTTATGCAGCCATTAAAAATAACCTGCATTTAAAGATTCCCTTACCTTAAGGAAGAGGTGACTGACAGCTTTTTCATTGGCTGTTTTCCACTCACAGGTTCCCTTCTTTGCATACTCAACATGATAGCCTGTGATTGGTCCAGAACCAGAATAGATAGGCTTTTGCCACTCAACCACCAATGAATTATCTCTCACTTCACAAAACGTCAGGTCGTAAGCAGGGCCTAAACACACACAATGACAAGGAGAAGAACAATTTACAATACAGCCTTAGCATGATTAAATTATGAAGACATTTATTTGTTTTTCGTTTTTCAGAGCTTCTTCAAGACCATGTCAGATAGAAGGTGAGATTTACTGACCAGGCTCTGGCATAGTCCAGGCCACACACTTGAAGTCATCTGAATGTTTGGAAGCTGGTCCAAGTCCAGCCAGGTTGGCTGCATAGACATGGAACTGATAGACTGCTCCCTCGGTCAAGCCCTCCACCTGCCAGTAAAATGTTTTAGTAGTTCATGTTCAAGTGACACAACGCACACTGAGTTTTTGAGATCTACACCAGCCATTTCTGCAGTTCCACATTGAAGAACTAATTTGAGATAAAGTTTGAGGTCCTTTTCCTGTTGAGGATATGCAGATCTCTTTTCTACAAAAATCTGACTTTCTCATATGCTTTATTAAGACAGTATGCATTGTGTTATTCTTAACCAGGGAAAAACATCACAAAAAAAAACACACAAAAAAAACAACAACTCAGTAGCGCACAAAAGATTTTAACTTAAGCTTGGACACTGTTGGTGCAGAAGCTGGGAAGTAGGCATACATCAGAATTATTATTTTTTTCTTTTTTGTTGGAAGCCACAAAACAGTGATATTGAGTTAACTTTGCTGATTGGGCATTGTTCAGTATCTAATAAGTATTGAGAGATTTTTCGGTACCTTATAAAGTCTCTCTGAGACTGGTGGAATATGAACCTCCCTCCACATGCTGGTTCCACTGCGTCTTTTATCCACATAATACTCCTTGATCTCAGCACCTCCAGACTGGAGAGGCTTCTTCCAGTTCAGAACCATTGAACGGCCATCACAGTTAAGCAGTGCAACGTCATATGGGGCAGAGGGGTTTGCTACAAAACAATCACAAAGATTGGTCATAATTTTACCTTGTTCATCTTTCATACATAATTATTGAGGGAATCTTTATATTTTTATCAGCGTTAGAGACTGTGAATATAGCTTTACTGACTAAGTGCAGCTCTGACAGTCAGAGGTGCAGATTCCTGGGATTCATCACTGAGACCCAACTCATTGATCGCCTGGACACGGAACACATATGTTTCTCCAGTTTTCAGGCCACTAACCACAAATCTGAAAAATAAAATAAAAATAAAGTAAAGAAAAAATGATAATAAAATGCTTTTATGATACTGGTATCACTTCCAAAGAAAACATTAATCTATTTACTTTTTAACACCTTTACACTTTTAGAACCTGTTCCAGATATAAATGTGCAAGCAGCAGAGCACAGCCACAACAGGCTGCCACTCCACACAAGGCCTTCATAGACTCACAACTGTGGTACATTTATAATCACTTGTAACTGCAACACAGCAGTTAGTTTGAAACATACTTGGTGTTCTTATGAGGTTTGTGATTGGCTGAAGTCCAGTCTTTGGACCCCTTCACACACTGGTCAATATAATAGCCAATCAGATTGTTGGGTTCCTTTGGAGGAGCCCACTGGATGAGCACAGAGGTATCTGTTTCCCTTGTAGCAATCACCTGACCAGGAGCCGATGGGACACCTTATAAACAACAACAAAACAAAGCAAAAGCCAGAATAAATCATAAAAACTAAATAAATATTATGTATTAGCAAATGGAAAAAGCTGAGAAAAACCTTTAAGCTGCAAAGTCTCAATGAGACTTGTTGGCTTAGACGGCTCGCTGGTTCCATAGATGTTGGCAGACAACACTCTGAACTTATATTCTTTTCCCTCTGCCAGGTCAAAGACAGCATAACGTGGAGATCGAATAGGAACCTTAGTATTAACACGCTGCCAGGCTTCAGTGTTGGCCATGGCCTGTGAAGACCCAAAACGTAAAAGTTTCCAGAAAATGAGAGTTTTTCACCAAAAGCAACCACAAGAAATGTTGATTTTTTTCCCCCCCTTCATAATTATTGCAACCTGTCCTCTTTGTTGATTCTTCCACCTTTCAGAGTTAATTATTCCCAGCACAATAAATTCAGCTAGATTCACCGAACTGTGTGCCTAACCTGATGGGTCAGTACATGTGGTAAAAAAAACTATTTTTCAACTGAGTTGTACCAAAGACACTGTTCGCAGTATGACATTTAGTGTTACCTTTTCAATGTAGTACCACATGGGGGCCTTGCCAAAATATTCTGGGGCTTTCCAGCTCAAAACTACATATGTCCTGTCCGTTTCAGAGGCATAAACTCCAGATGGAGCACCTGGGGGCTTTCCCTCAGCTTAAAAAAAAATACAAACAAATAAGTGTGTAAATATTAGGGCAAATATAAAATAAAAAGTAAAGGACATGCACAATTTGAATGAACTTTCACCTTCCTCTTCATCATGGTAAGACACAATCTCCAATTTTCCTCCAAGCTTCTTGGCTGAAAGGCATATAGAGATACATATCGGTTTGAGAGTAACAAATGTTTCCTCATGGACTTTCAAAAATAATCTGAGTAAATCTGGCAAATCAGTAACTTTCAAGCAGTTTCAGAAAAAATAATATATTTTTTAAAGCGGCTTATCACAGAAATACAAATTAAGTAGTAATTCCAACGAGGCGAGGATCTAGATTCTTAGTTTGATTTTTTTTCTCTTTTTTGATTATAAATAATAAATCCAATATTTATATTGCAAAAGACTTAGTGACTGAACTTAGTACAGATGAAGCTCAGTAAACAAATTTTTCATTTAGTCTTATCAAAAATACCTAAAAACAAGCATAAATCAAATTTTTGGCGTCCTAAGAGCAACGCAGTCACATTTTCTCTGCAGACACACCCACCATGAAGCCTTTCAAACTCAGTGGGGTCCAGAGCAGCGATGGGATCAGACATGCGGGAGGGTTTACTGATTCCACGGGAGTTGACAGCTCGAACTCTGAAGTAGTAAGAGTGTCCCTCAAACAGCCCAGACACCGGGTATTTACAGATCTTGATGGGGTGATCGTTGCACTGGGTCCAGTTTTCTGTGCCAACCTCACATCTGAGATTTTGAAAAAAAAAATAAATAAAGGGGGTGGAGATTGAAAGAAGTACCTTAAATTGGCTCAAGTAATTCAGTTGCCCATTTTTAGACTTCTATTTACTTCACTGTGAAGATGCAAGGTCAAGAGCAAAAGGAATTATTTAAAAGGTGTAAAACAACCCCACAAACATGGCATCAATCAAACTAATTTGACCAGTTTATCAATCAGCAGTTACATGCTTAAACCATGCAAACCAAAACTCCTACTTGTCCACAAAGTATCCAATGATTGGACCCTCTGTAGTGGTATTTGGAGGCTTCCAAGAAACAATGACATAATCTCTGTTGGCATCATGGATTTTGATGTCCATTGGAGCTCCAGGTGCACTGGGAACAGGGGGAGGTCCATCTAAACAGGCAAGAACAGCAGGAGGGTCTTTGTTAAGATAAGGTCCTTTGAATTACAGATTATGTATTTAAAATATCTTTATAATTCATTTAATGAAATTCTCTCTTTTTTTTTGTCTGATCAACCATCCTACCAGCGACAGAGACAAAGGCGCTATGCTCTGCGATGCCTCCCTTAGTGACCATCCGAAGCGTGTAAAGGCCTTCATCATCTTTAAAGAGGTTTGGAAGAGTCAGGGTGGTGTATCCTCTTCCTGTTTCAATCTTTACCCATTTGGAGTCAAACAAACGAGTGTCTGAAATGAGGAACCATTCACAAGTTAATCCATGATCCTCATAATTGTCTGTCCAACGTACTTAATTTTAATAAAGGGTTATTTATGTAAAAAATGTAAACTGTAACAATTTATATACACATATTATCATTCAAGTTTTAATTATCTGGAGATAGTTAAATTTACTCTAAATAATATGTAATAAATATTGTCTGTGAAATTTTCAGATTTTCCACTACTGTACATGACGCCGCATGGAGACTGGCTTATACCAGAACATATTAATACAGAATACTATCAATACCAAATATAGCACATAATTTCTCATAAAACACTGCATTGTGAGAATTACCATCTCTATACCACTGTGCCTCAGGCTGTAGGTTGGCCAGGTTAGGGTACAGGCTCATGCGGGCAGAGAGAGTGGCTGATTGTCCCTCAGTCGCAAACACTGGACCAAACTTCTCCTCAAAAGTTATGTGGATTTTAGTGTAATGGATTTTGGGAAGCATAGCAGCTGGGGAAAAAAAAGAGAAAACAGAATAATGAATATAACGAGACAAAGAAAAAGAAAGAGTGTGAAAGTTTTTCTATAAATGCAGCATTATTGTTGTAAAAACATCAAAGTATTGGTTTATAGTGAAAGCAATTAGACAGAACCTAAGCTTAAAATACCTACCAGTAAAAGGTAACCATGCGTATGGACTGGATTCATCCTCGTCCTTATATCCTGCAAAAAATACAAATAAAAACTACTATGACTAACATCTCTGGAATTTTAGATGGAAGACTAAAATACTGAGCAAGGGGGGTTAAAACAAGTTCAATTCACCACATACACACATTTATACATTTAAATTCCTCATATGCACAGAAAATGTTGAATATTAATACAGGAGTGCCTTCAGAAAGTTTTTAAAGAGTGGCCAGAAGGGGGGCAGTGAAAACAAGGAAGCTCAACAACACTTGAGAGCTTTATCATGCAGTCCTTATATCTAGTGTGACGGTGGGCATCAGTGGTGACTACCATCTAAAAGGTGCACTGTGCAAAAAAATATGAGCGGCATAAATAAAGCTTTTCTTATTTTAATTGGCATTCAAAAACATATATCTTGCAGATGTTTGCTAAACACATTGCGCTTTCATTTCCTCTTGCAACCACTACAGACATCCCCTAAATTAACTCCCATAGTGGTGGCACCACTACACAGTTACTAGAATGGTGATCTTTAAAAAGAACGGTGATGCCAGAATGTGGCTCCATATTGTCCAGGTCAAAATCCTTTGACCCTGAAGAACTTACGCTTGACAATGACTGATGCCTGACTAGAAGCCTGTCCATGGATGTTACCAGCTACAGCAGTGAACTGTGCTGTATCTTCAGTTGTACATCTATAAAACAAAGTGAAAGCAATCAGTTGGTAAATCAACATACCCTTTAAGATCTTAATGAGGGGTTTCAACAATTTATTCTCTCACAATAAACTGTGCAAATATAAAGCATTGACACTGAATGTACCTCAAAGGCTTATGAAATAGATAATGGAAATCATCCAGTAATCGTTTTTTGTGTTGAAAGCTATCCCAAAATAGCAATTGATGCATTAATGCGTAATTTTATCTACTACGGAATACGTTCCACAGGAGCTATCACTTCACTGTATGAAACCCATGTATGACTATCTGCCCTCCATTTTTATTGCCAGGTACTTTGTTTGCTTCTCCTTTCTAACTGATGTCCATAATTTATGAGCTAGGATATTTTAAAACTCGTACACTCTTGCAATTCTTTTACAACAACTGACGTTTTTTTAATCAATTTCTGTGTTACCAAACAAAATCTTTCTGCCAGTCTAATTGGATCGCATCATCACCAGGGGGTGATGGGAACCATTCAGAGAGCAATGACCTAAAGAATCCTGTCGTGTCATATAGCACTGAGGTCAGCAGTTGAACAGCTGAGCTTCCAGGCTGGAGCGAGGTACGCTCCACTCCGTCTGCAGCCACACTGCAGCCACACACTCAGCTGTTTCCGACCTCAAATCTCAAATTGTTTGAGGCTCGTAAACAAGTTTAGAGCAGGGATTTTAGTAATCATTTATGACACCAGTCAGGAAGCTCAAGGTCATGTAGTCTGAGAAATATTGTATTTCTAGAAAGATGTCACAGAAGTTGGATGCATAAACAGCTGCAGAAAAAAAAACAGAAGAGAACTGTACCAAGAAAAAAGCAAGAAGACCATGTAAAGGGGGATCATATTAGGTTTCAAATGTCTCTTTTTATTTTGAAAAAGAGACATTTGAAACCTCCCTAATTTCTCCCTAAATTCAATAACTGGTTATGCCATCTTTAGCAGCAACAACTGCCTTCAAATGTTTGGACCATCTGGCAATGAGTCTTCTGCACAACTGTGGATTAATTTTGGCTTCTGTCACTGTGTTGTTTTTCTTAAGTACTTTCTTATTCACCAGAAGTTAGATGTCTCAAACCTTTTCCAAAACTTTTGTCTTGTCAGTCTACAGATCATTTTCCAAAAAGTCAAGATGTCTTTGGCAATGTTAGATGGTCATAGAGTTATTTTTGGTCAGCATGGACTTTGGCCTACAGTTGAACGCTGTTCAGTTCCTTTTTTTTTTCTGGATCATGAACACTGAATTGAATTGAGGCAAGTGAGACATGCAATGCTTTAAACACTGTTCTGGATCATTTTGTGACCTTCTTTGTTCTGCTGATTGATTCTGTAATGGGCTCTTGGAGTAATCTTGGTAAGTTGGCTTTCCTGGGAAAGTTCACAGGTCAGTGTTTCCTTCACTTTTGGATAATGGCTCTTACTGTGGTTCACTAAACTACAAACCATTAATTGTTGTGTCACCCTTTCCATTCTTATAGATGTCATTAGAGTTTTTTTTTTTTTCTCATCTGCTCTTGGATTTATTTACATGGGCATAAGCTTTTTGATATGTTTCTTCTTCACTTCATGCTGCTAAACATGCCCTATTAAAATTTATTTATTAAATACATTTGTATGGCAGAGATGAGGTATGGATGTAGCTTGCTAAATTGAACTCATCGCTGCGAAAATAAAATGTGGTCAATCCTAGTTCAATACTAATTTATAAAGTGGGGTGATTACATTCTCACATAGGGGTAGATTTCAAGGCTCCAGGAAATTATGTTCAAAAGAAAAATGTTTGGAAATTCAGATGAAATGAGCTTACGCAGTCATCTAAGACATAAGGCAATAATAAAACTCATCAGGACAATCGTGGAAAATAAAATTTCAGGAGAGAAAAAACTGATGACCAAATAGACAGATAGCTATTTTGTTGAACTTACTATACCTTGGGATCAACAGAGAGTGGCTCCCACCTCTGGCTTCAACCAGATACTTTCCAGAGGACAAGTCCAGGATCACGCCATCTTTATACCTTAAGTGAAGAAAAGATATGTAGCTACAGTGAGGCCTGTGTATGTTTATTGATTAATACCTTGAAGTATGTTTTTGCAAATGGATTTGTAAAGGATTATAGTGATACTGATTAAGACAAAAAAAAACATATTCATGTATTACCATTTCACAACTGGCATGGGGTAGCCTTCAACAGTACAGAAGAGTTTGATCGGAGTGTTTTCAAACACAGTATGGGATCTGAGTCTGACGAAGAACTCTGGTCCCCTGATCATAGGTTCTTCGCGCACATATTTTTCTCCCAACTTTGTTCTTACCTAAACAAAAAACATAGAATCCTAATAAATACACAGGTGAGGAATACCCACCTCCTTGTCTTGCTCTTGTAATTAATTATTGAATCTTTATTCTGACTATGCTGCACTGACATTTATAAAGTTACAGCATGTTGATAAGAGGTCAAGCAGTTTATTAGCTAGTTTACTGTATGTGTTTAAGGGGAAATGAAATTGATTCAATAAATCTTACCACTTCCTGAATTCGAGCTTGTGTTTTGTACTCATATCTTTCTTCAGAGGCCTTGGAGCTGAACATAAACAATATGCAAGTTTTATTAACATACATTTAAAATTACACTGATTTTGTCACAATACTATTTTTAAAATCAATTGATTCTTTTCAGGACACTGGACATTGAGGACATTCACAACAGGTCTGTTTGCATTAGTATTAGTCAAAACCAAAAAATATTAAAAGCTTCAAAAGGGTCTGCATAGTGCAGAGTAATCCTTAATTCTTCTATTTTATTTTTTTAAATATACAGAGTATTTCTATTTTTTTAAACTAAGACACATTGATTCTTCAGCTTTAGGTAAATTATTCTGAATCTTACAAACTTTTGCACTAATATAGTCATGTCTGAAACATAAACTATTTATCTCTAGTCAAGCTTCTCAGAAGACTTGCATCAGCAAATTAGTGACTGATTATGTGACTGATTTAATGCTTGAATAGTCTTTCTAAATTAGTTTATCTCTCAGTGCTGTTTTAACAATGTTGTATGTTTTGTGGTTGATGGACAGTTAATTCTGTGTTTATGAGAATAGGGTGTAAAACTCTGATGCCATAATGTATTTTCATTGAAAAATAATGTGTTGTTAAAATAATAATTAAAAAAATGTTCTGTCTTTCTATTTTTCTATGGATCCAATTTTTGGCTTATTTGACCTTTGTTCTATAGCATAGGTCAATATATGCACAAAAAGGAGTTACATCAAAAAATACTTTATTATTAAGACAATGGTTACTTAGAATTTTGAGAACTATACATTCAACAGAAAAAGTTGTTGAAACTCAAATCAACTTGCCAGTTGTCAATCTGATGTTCATGTTATTATATTTATCAAGATAACATCAAACATAACTGAATCAGTACGTTATGTTAAAGTAAAGTCAAAACGATGCTGCTTTAGTTATAATATTCATATTAAAAAGCAGGATAGATATATTAAGACCTGTTTATGATTGTTAGCATGTGTCAGCTGTACCTGCTGTATTCTTTGACCACATATTGGCTCTCTTTGTGGTGGTATTGGTGGTCATATATTCGTTTCAGACGTGCTGACATGGTGGCGCTGTAGACACTGACCTGTTAGGTGAGTAATGAAATGTCGAGAGAGATCAAAATAAAGTACAACAGCATAATGAGACCATCTCACAGATACAGCTATGAACTTTCAAAGATAATTGATGAGGTTCTATAATATCAGACGATACAAAATGTTATTACATGGAGTACAACTTCAAGGAGAAAAAAAAAATAGGGAGAGAATGCTTAGAATTTTTTTTATTTGTCGTTATAGTTTTTCCAAAGAAAATGTCCCCAAATTCAACTGATTAACTGCTTTTTCAGCATTTTTCAATGGCAAGTCATGTCGAGCCCTAAAACCATACAGAAAAATCACTTTTTAAATATGATGAAGCGACTATACTTATCCACTTTGAGGCACTTTATTGTTATTAGAAATCAGAACTTTCAAGCAACAAGAAAACAAACTGGAACTCAAAATGGTCCCTCAAGAAATGTGGAAGTTTATGACAAGCCTGACATCATAATCCCGTATGATCGCTTAACATATAGAAGGATCTTAATTATCTTTGAAAAAATAAATTAGCAAGTTCCAAGGGTTTTATGATTCAAACATAGTTAAGTTGGTTGTTGCTTTCTCTAAAGTCGTATTTACCTGAATTTGATAGAAATGACCCAAAATTGTGAAGATTGAAACCTGTCAAGGACTAAAATTATGATTTTCCACCTGTACAATAATTGCATCTTTGTTTTTTACGGTATGACTATTTATTGCTCTTTTTTTTTTTCCACATGTGTAACTAAAACTTCAAAGGAATTATCAATTGTGAGGAGGCATTTCACTTTCTTACAGAAAGGAAAAAACAAAATCAAGCCAGCAACAACTGAATAGCAAACAGTTCACAGTGATGGCTCTGTGTCGGTAAAGCTTATCATTTATACACACACCAAATTATTTATTATCCTTCTACAAATAGAAAAGCCTTTGAAGAATTTGAACACATGGACTTTGAAACAATCCGGCACATCTCAACACACTCACAAACACTATCAGCTTGTTGGTTACTGTCAGAAGTGACACTAGGATTTAGACACAGGCAATAAAAGACACACATGTAAAGAGATACCATAAACAAAAGGCATGACCTTGAACCACTGTTAGACAACAGGATGCACCAAATTGTGTCTAATCAAAACATATAGCTTTAATTTTAGTTCTTCCAATGATAATAAATTTACCCTCCTGTTCGGAATCCTAATAATAATTTAATGAAGCTGAAAGTTGGAAAGAGATGAATATTGTCATACGTTATAAATCATGCATGTGATGTGAAAATAATGTTTTTATTGACCAGTAAAATTAGTCAACACTAGCTTCTTTTTATTCAATTTGTTTTAGAACATTTATTTTAGCACAACCATCAAAACAGAAGCATCAGTTCACTTCATGTTTGGTTCACTTCCCCTTACTGACCACAGCGACCAGAGAGAAGTTCAGAGGAAATCTGAAGCGATTCCTTCCCCGTTCCTTAACCTTAGGCTGATGGGGAATGAAACGTGTTGCACCATAACCCTGTTCCCATACCTTTGGGATGCACTCGGCAGCTTCAGTGTCATCTGTCATATCAATAAACCCAAATTCAGCTTACTGCTAATGCCTCAAATCTGCCAGTCAAGCATACAATGTTACCATATCATTCCCAATCTGTTTGTCTGTAACTTTAAACACAGGTTGGTATCAACTATAAAAGCAAAAAAGTTTCTGTTAAAATGGATTTATACACATGCTTAACTTTTTGCTCTTTGAATTCCAGACAAAAAGGTAAGAACCAAGAATGGTAAAAGGATTTGGTGACATTGGGAGACTCAGCAAATTCCCAAAATAAATTTATTCACAGCAGGACATTTAGAGCATCCTCTCCAGCAGCAATTTGAAGCAGCACCAATAAAATCCAGGCAAACATGACTAATTTCTTGTGTGCAAATAACAGCTGTTTGCATTACATAGCAGATTTCAGGCAAGCAACAATTTTTGTGTCTGAAGGTAAAGGAAACATGAACATTAAGTTTTCTTTGCAAGATACTCTCTTGTTCCATAAATTCTGCACCTCTGTAAGTCCAGCCTATACTGTAACAGCCAAGAAAATCCATTTGTAACTGTAAACCTCCAGTACTCTCAGCCATAACCATACAAAGCAACATGATGTAATTCCACTACAAAATCTTATCTTAGAAATCAAAATCTTAGAGGTAAGGTGCAATTATCAAAGCAAAATGTCTATTTTTCGTCATTTTAGATACTTGACGTTCCCATGAACAACATATTTAGTTCATAAACAGATATTGATGGCCAATATAGCTGTCCATATTGTGTTTACCTTGACTAATCTGGGTACCAACAATAAATGCATAGACATTCTGTACTTCTCAGATGACCAAACATACAGTCTGTCCAAGAAATGAAAGACAGAGTGTCTACATTAGTCCTCCGTTGCTCATTTATTCCACTTGTAAAACCCGTATTCTTTCATTCATCACTTTGAAGTATCATTAGCAGCAGTAAAGGATCATGAAACATCTTCTGGCTGTGCTCTCTTTAGTCCCACCTCACTGATCCCACCTGCTGCTAATGGGTTTGAAATGAAGATGGGTTATAAAGCTAACAATACAGAAGAGGTAAGAGCTGAAGCATAGTTTAAACATTTTTTACTTACCACTGAAGATTTTCTTTTCAGCGACTTCGGTTATCAGCCTGAATCCACAGGGAGTCAGCCTAAACCAAGTTCTGCACAAGGCCAAGAGAACCACCGCCCGACTCCAGCTGCCCCCCACCAACCTCTCCCCGAGGCCTTATAAGGAGAGAGAACTGCCTATATATAACTAGTATCCTTCAAGACATAGCCACTAAAATCAGTAAGCTATTTCATTAGCAGAAATTATTATTTTTTTATTTCTGCAATAATGCTATTCAAGACGTAATGAGATTCAAGTTGGGCTACCAAGCATAACAATTACATCAGATAAAGCATAAAATTTCACCACTTTATGCGAAATGAATATAAAACATTTGCAAATTATTCAAATTTAAGTTGACATCTCTTTAATGTAGAGCTTTGAATCTAGCTGCACACTGCATCAAACTCTTGCGCTTAGAATTTTCTCCATCTGCATTAAAGAACATCTTGAGAAGCTGCGTCGCATGCTGAACTTTGGCCACGGCCTATTTATAAAACTAGCTACAGTTACAACCTGACTATTCCTGACATCGAGAAGGAGCTGTTAAACAGATTGCACGTCTGAGACAAAATCATGTGAGGCGACAACATGGGATAACATTCGGCAGCTTTAGAAGGAGTGTGTGATGTCTGAATGACGTAGACAAATGGACGTGTGCCCAACAGGAAACCAATATAGCTGATAACAGGCCAGAGTTTTACAATTACAGCAAAGTATTGACTTTTTCAGTAAAGAAATTACAGGAAACTTAAAATACAGATGGATTTTTATTTAACAAATTTAAATGATCTTACCCATGGCATCTAATCTTTGCTATTTAAAATATAGGGCAGCAAAAATAAAACACTTAACTGCTGTGTTACACACTAAAGTTGGACTTATTTGAAAGGGCTTTGCAAAATTATGCCCACTAAAATCATTAAGAAATATCAAAAGCCATTTATTAATTTTATTCTATTCTCACCCAAATAAATTTTCCCATTTAAAGAATAATAAATAATTATGTAATTAATCTCATTACATCTTAATTTGTAATTAATTATGAATTTAATGATGGCACTTGACTTAATGTAATGTTTTTGATTGTTGATTCAATGTTGCATGACTGTGTTTTTGTGTTTGTGATGATGTAAAAGCACTTTGAAATGCCTTGCTGCTGAAATGTGGTATACAAATAACATTTGATTTGATACAAAATAGAATTTTTTAAATTATTTTATAGTTTGTAAACATGCTTTTTTGGGTCGATTTCTGTTAGACCTCTGTTGATCCAAATTTGTTAATATCAAAATATAAGTTTAGAGCATACTATACCCGGAATATGATATATATTTCTTTTTTAACTTTATATCTTTAATAGATTTTTTTTAGTGGAAACGTAGTTTGTTTTCAACTTCACTTAATTGGTGTTTTCTCATATTGCCATCTGCCATAATACATACGTGCACTATTTATCCATATTTATTAAGGTAAATTTGTTATTTAAACAAATATTCTACAAAGAACTGTTTTTTTTGTTTGTTTGTTTTTTAATTCAGCGAATCTATCCAGACCTGGATTGAAAACGTCGTTGGTAGGCGTTGTTCGGAGGAGCAAACGGGTCACGGCTTATACTAAACCAAGCAGCCCAAGCATCGGCTCTACGCAGAGACGTAATGACGCAAGATGTGTTTACGACATGATGCTTATGATTGGCTGATCCAACAAAGCCGGTAGTTCAGTGCTGTTCGACGTAAACAAAACTGTTCGTTGGTAAACCACTATATAAAA